GTTTCCAGGTCATGATGCTAAGATGAACAGAAGAGAGCAAAACAGGTGAAATGCTTTTCCATCTAGCCTGGGGCTATGCCAGTCAGAGTATGAAAGTGGTATAGATGAGATTATTTCCTCCCCTCTTCTCCCTCCAGGTGCCCTCTCTACCCCAGGGCCTTTGCAAATATAAAGGTGCAGATGTGGATGGATTCCACCTTCCCTGGAGTCACTGGCAAGAAGTGGCTCCCATCACTATGGACAATGCAGATTTTCTTTACCTCAACTGCACTGCATGTAAAACTACCTCCATCGCCACTGTGCACAACCCTGCACCTACTTTTTGAAACCAGAGACTATTTTATGTTTGACTATTTCCTAAGGGGTTAGAGGTGAACCAGCTGTCAACAGGCAACGAATAAAGTCTTTCTCCAAAGGCAGTAGAGAGAAAATCATAGCCCTACAAACGAAGTGGAAATCTGGTCAGGTAGCGCTTGTGTCTGAGACTAAAGCTAAAAAACAGGCATTTAGCCACCTTCAGAGTCCACTCAGTACAGGCTATGGAGGGGAGGTTGGGCACCTTTCCGAAAAACCCTTGGAAATCAGCCACAATGAAATGTATTCAGCGAGATAAAATTAGTAAAGCTGGAATGACAACAATCAATCACTGCCTGCTGAGATAAAAACAATGATGCTACAATAAGGAGAGAGCAGGGTGGTGGCTGGTCTGTAAGGCAGGAGGAAAGAGAGAGAGGTGTGAGAAATGATCGCCCCAGGCTACTCCCTGGAGCCCGCAGACAGGCGACCTGGAGGCCACCACAGGCTTCCCCAAAACAGCTAAGGCCATCTGACTGTACTGCTCTGATGCCTTGTTCCTAAAGGAAACTTCTGGTTTGGATTTGCTTTCTCCCGGCGACTTCCTGTGGGGAGAGAACATGTTCCCGCGATGACATGCCTCTCCTTGCGGGACCCACAGCTCATTATGATTTACTGAATTGACACTCCTGGGTTTTTGCTTGTTTGTTTGTTTGTTTGTTTGTTTGTTTGTTTGTGTGTTTTTAAACCTCTTTTGAGTCTGGCTAGTGTGAATCAGTTCACTGGGATCGTCTGAGCAAGATGAATAAACACTTAATTTAGTTTCTAAACTTCTAAAGCCCAAGTACAGACCACGGGCCCATGGCGGCCTGAACCAGTCCCACTTCGCAAAGCCTGTGAACACAGCAAGGTGACAGCTGTCTGCTGGCAATGCCAGTTAATGAGTTTTACTAGTGTTAACGCTCCTTATGCTGACTAGTGACAGACCATCACAATACCCAGGCTTGGCTGCTTCCCTGGGGCTTGCTAGCGACACCACATTCTCTCCTGCTAAAGCTGGGTTCACGCTCTCCGCCACCTCCTCCAGCCCCCCCCTCACCCCCACCCCAGGACACACGTGTATCTATAAAAAGGCAGCTGTTACCGTTGTAAAGGGATGGTGACTACCTTGGCGAAGATGATCCTTGGTCTCAGAAAATGAATGTAGCATGCAGATTATGCATTCTGTTTCACTCATACAAAACTATTCTGTGTACATTGGCCAATCAATATTTATGTGACCTAGTTTTAAGAACTGAACACAACAGGAGTCCAGTAGAAAACGAAGGGGATTGCCCTAAGTAGAGAAGCCAGAGGTCACAGGGTGGGTCAGTGCCCTCACCATCCATGGCCAGTGCACCCTAGCCATGCAGTTGACCTAATGCTGTAATGCCTAGTCTTCTTAAGAGCTCCCTCAGTTTTCATATCAGCAAACATCTACTGTTTTTATTCACAGCATGTTGGATCCCTGAGCATAATTTAGGCAGGTGATCATTAAATTATCTCCTGGAAGTTGTGAGAAGAAAGGCAGCCTACAAGCGACCACAACATTGAGTTTAGTCAATGAAATGCTGATTCTCATCTTGAATGGAGACATTTCTTTCCTTGGACATTGTGCTGTCTTGGCTGAGCCAACCCTGTCAGACTGGACACCAACATGCTCCTCAGGTGTCTCGCAAATTTCATGCTCGCTCCTTTGCAGCAGCTTGAGCTCTGCAGGCAAAGATGTTTTTTGCAGGCCCTGATCCCCAGAGGAAGATTCCTGGCAGGACAAGGACCCATCAGGTGTGTTTTAAGAAATGAGGGTCCTTGATAGGAAAAAATATTTCTCCTTCCAAATGATGGAAAACATAGAACTGAGTGTGGTGATGCACAGAGAACCAATTCATCAAGCAACTGTGCCCACAAAATGAGGAATGCTTGCATAGCACGCGGAATGGAGCAGATTGGGTGCCATGGCCTGCCGCGGCCATCTCTGCTACAATCTGATACCTCAGTGTGACAGGTTTTTCAATGAAAATAACAATGCTGCACTCCAAAAAACTGCAGAGGCTAACTGCTTTCCCCTTACAGATGATGTAAAGAATGAGGAGCTCTGCACGGACCCTGAAGGGGTGGCTGGCTGCCCCTGGGGGCCACATGCCCGTCACAGCCCGCTCAGCGGCCTTGCTCATCCCTGCGCGGAGGAGAGATGGGAATGGGGAGGCCAGGTGCAGTGGGTCAGTGGGAAGCGGCAAGAATCTGAGACTGAGATCTGTGAGTCCTAACTTCCAACACGAGTTCATCCCAGGGCCAGCCTTGTGCCAAGAACACAGATCCAGGCCTAGGCCTTTCACAGAATGCTTCCAGCCCTCAAACTCAGGCACCTCTGTTCCTGTGTCTGCATCCCTCCCCCGGTTGGGGTGCTCTCCTTTCCTCTCTGCTTATGTTAGGCTTCTGCAGCCTTCTAGATATACCTGGAATGGTGCCTCCTCCTTCCTGAAGCCCCTGTCCTCAATGGTGCTTCATGCCAGGGACTCTTACAGCTGTACACAAGCCTCTCTGCATGTCACTTAATCTACTTATGAAACTTCTTGTCCCACCATATAACTTAGTACCCTGATGAGAGGCATCATGTCCTTAGCATCATGGTATCTTTCATGCCTAGCACAGTACCTGGGATACAGGAGGTACTCAGGAAATGCTAACTATTGACACTAATAATGATAAATGTGTTACTAGTGGTTCTCCAAGCATAGCCACATGATGCAGCAAATGAAAGTTATACCTGGCAATCACTCAACAATCTGAACACTTTGGAGGTACAATTGAGATGTCCAAAGTGCATTCATTCTCTGCTTGAGACTCTCAGAGCTCTGGAAGACACCAAGGCAAACAGAAACCCGGGCTGCCATTTTGAAGTCAAACACAGTCATGAAATCAATCTGAGACAAAGTCCTAGAGCAAAGCTGGTGATAACCAGCTAACTATCAAGTTCATACTTAAAACATAAGTAAGGATGTACCATATTTCTTTACTTAATACTGTACTTGAACCCAGCCAAATACTGTATTGTGTTCAAATCATACCCAGATCTGTATGTCAGTATCTCTACCTTTGACTTCTGACCTCCACATATGCGTACATTATTCCAAGGATATCTCAAAGGGCTCTCAAGTTTAACACACCCAAAATGAAATTCTTGATCTCAACCACCCCCCTAAACTTGTTCCTCCATCACCCCCTATTCTTTTTTCTTATTTATCCACAAAAGCTGCCCAGTTGAATGTATGCTACAGAAAGATCATTTGCTTCTCAGATAATGAGACAAAGCCAATAGGGGGTCATGGGGGTGGGGTGGTGGCGGGGTATGTTTCCAGCATTCCGTGAGGATGCCACACACTGTCAGACCTTTCTCTGATCGCTGTCCCCCACAGTTTTTCATTGTGTGTAGTGGCTCTGTCTACTAAGAAACACTCCCTCCCTTGGAGACAATGAGGAGGAGAAATTCATTTCCTATCAATTAGAGAAACTAGTTAGCCTAAACCTACCCTAAAATTATGTTTGATAATAGGTGTTAGAGTGTATCATTGCAAAAAGAAATTGTAACTTAAAAATAGCTTTACCATGGACTTAAGCAAAATAGAACATAACAACAAAAACCAAAATTGATTATCCTGAAATAATTACGAGAAGCCTATGACCTATGATTACAATGCCTGGGTAGTGGAGATAAGTCACCTGAGAAGAAATGAGGAACCCAAAGGTTAAATATTGGTTTTCATCACATTTTTTTCTTATTGTAATTTTTTTAGAGATGTCCTAATATTTTCATAGTGGTTTATATCCCCAGAAAAGCCAAAGTGGCATGTGAAAATATGCTCAACACCACTAGCCATAAGAGAAATGCAAATCAAACCCACAATGAGATACCACTGCACACCTATGGGGTGGCTATTATCAAAAAATGGAAAATAACAAGTGCTGGCAAGGGTGTGGAGAAATTAGACTCTTGTGTACTGCTGCCGGGAATGTAAAAGGGTGGTGCTGCTTTGGAAAATAGTATGGAGGTCCCTCAAAAAGTTAAACATAGTATCACCATATGATCCAGCAATCCCACTTCTGGGTATACTCCCAAAGCACTGAAAACAGGACTCACACAGACATTTGTATACCTGTATTCATACCAGCATTATTCACAATAGCCAAAAAGTAGAAACCACCTAGGTGTCCATTAATGGATTAAAAAAAAATGTAGTACATATGCAAAATGGAATATTACTCAGCCTTAAAAAAGAATGAAATTTTGACACACGCTGTAACATGGATGAACCTTGAGGACATTATGCTAAGTCAGTCAGACACAATAGGACAAATACTATATGATTCCACTTATATGAGGCACACAGAACAGTACAATTCATAGAGACAGAAAGCAGAATGGTTGGTGCCAGGGTCCGAGGAAGGGGGAATGGGGAGTTAGTGTTGAAGAGGACAGAGTTTCCGTTTGGGAAGATGAAAACGTTCTGGAGGTGGACAGTGGTGATGGCTGCACAACAATATGAATGTACTGAATACCACTGAACTGTATTTTTTAAAATGATGAAAATGGTAAATTTTGTGTTAAGCATATTTTGCCACAATTTAAAAAAGGGAAAAAAGAAGCCGAGGTGGCAAGCAATACTTACAAGATATAGGCAATCACCCCGATGGACCAGCAGTCAACAGCTTTGCTGTAAGGTTTCTGGGCGAGGACCTCAGGAGCTGTGAAATGACAAGAGACACAAGCCTGACAATTTAAATGTGTGACGTAAGACATTTTTTAGTTGTTTATTGTTTTGTTTTGTTTTTGTTTTTTTTTGCTTTTTTGCTTTTTCTGCTACTTGGGCTGAACTACCTGTGATTCTAAAAACTGAGCAGAGATATATGACCTGTTTTATTTGTAAGCTTTTCTAACTAGAAAAAAAATGAGTGTGTGTGTGTGTGTGTGTGTGTGTGTGTGTGTGACTGGAGATTATTAATCAAATTCAATCAGCAAATACTTAATGGGGGCTATTTTATGTCAGAGCTATGCTAAGCACTATAGCTTAGACCAGAGTGAGTGAGAGGAAGGTATTTTTAGTTTGGGGGCTGGGATGCGACTTCACCTCAAATCAATGCAAGGAAGCACTTCTGGCCCCCAGAAGTGTAGGGCTTTCTAGGCACTGTGGGGACACCAAGGTGAAGCCCCTCCTTCCGCCTTCATGGACCTTATAATCGAGTAGAGGTTAGATGTAACATCTGTTTTTTGGGAACCCTGCATCAGGCCTGCTCTTAGTTCATCCTCTAAGGTTTGGGGTGGATTATCTGTCAGTACTGTCATTTCATTTTCTCACCAGTGAAACAGGGAAAGTGCTATTTAACCTCACTTCATTGAGGTTATTCAGCAAGTGGCATCCATCCCAGGGCTTTGGGCTTATTTTGTATGATTCCCACACTTCCTGTCCCCGGCCTTGTGGTGACAGCCCAGTCAGTGCTGGACCACCACCCAGTTCTGGCTCCCAGCAGTGTCTGCCACACATATCTGCGCAAAGAGTAAATAAATATGAGACAAGATCGTAAGTCTCCTTCACGAGCAAAATCTCCTTCTTACCCAAACAAATATGATCAAGGTGTCTTTAGCACAGAATTTCCAGAAAAATTAAGGGGGTACAGAAACTAAAAGCTGCTTTCGCTGACAAGGCCCCCCTCACAGGCTGAACTGTGTGCTCTATGGGCTTGGGATGCGTTACTATACTGGCCCTAGCCATCTGTGGGGGGAAGGACTTAATCATCTTCATCACCATTATCCCCAAGTTACAGGGGAGGGCGCAGAGGGACTGAGCCCAAAGTAACCCAGCTGAAACATGGCCTCTACACCACCTTCCTCTCAGAGGGACCTACCCCTAAGTGGCCGCCATGACCTGGGTCTTAGGCTAGTAATTCACAACTGTCTTCTGCTGTAACCCTGTCAACAGCTTTACAATTACCCTTATCTGAACCTGGCAGAGATGGAAAATGAGCCTCAGAGAAGCTGGTTTTCCGACTCCACACAGTAGATAGGAACCAGCTGGGATGTGAACTCAGGTCGGTCTCACTTTTACCCTGGCTCTTTGCACTGGAATATACTGATTATTGAGAGTTTCTTCAGTCTGTAAGAAAAGTCCCTGTGCAGAAAAACGAAGAGAAATCCTCTCTTTCATTCTGTTGGAGATAAATCTTTCAGAGTAAGTCTAGGGAAGTATACAAACTACTGTTGAGTGTTTCTAGTTATGACGGCAAGGAATAGAATCCACAGATAATCCCCAAGTCTAATTTTCGGTTTCAGCCCCAATCCCTCCAAGCTTCTGATTGGACCTTATTTTTTTTAACAAGAGCAAAATAAATGAATGTATACATCCTTCCCTTGCGATGTTCACCCTCATTGCAGTAGCAGAAGGTGAGAGAACTATAAAGCCAGAGCCTTGCAAACTGAAGTGGCCCTTGGATAACCGGGAGCTGGCTGCACCTGTAACTGCTAAGAGCATATTTCTCAGATGTTGCTATTACAGCAACTGACACGGAGCCATTTACCCCAGTAAATGTCTTGCTGATTTAGGACGTATGTGCTCGCTGAGCTGATGTTCTGGCCTGAGTGGCCACGTGGGCACAGACAGTGGGAGGGAGCACATTTCTGAGACTCCAGGGCCATCCTCATGGCCCAGTGGGAAGTTCAAAAGAGGCAAAGAAGGCTCACGGAGCTCCGCCTGAGCCAGCTCCCGGCAGAGCTGACAGCAGACCTCACGAGCACAGGGCCAAGCTGGTGGGCAGAAGCCCCGGCCTCCGCGTCACGATGTCTGCAGGAGAGGGAGAGCCAGCCTGGCCCAGACACTATGGAACCAGATGTCAAACAGCACACAGGCACCAGGAACTCTGCACGGGAGTTTTGTTCATGTCATGCGACAGGTACCACAGGGGACAGGCACATGGGGAAGGAACGCTGAGAAAGAAGCTGATTCCACAGTTTATGAGCAAATGCTGGCCCATCCCCTGAGCCACGACGTGTAGAGAGGGAAAGAGATGCAGCCCCTGCAAAGCAGGTTTCATTCTGAGGAGGAGCTGACACTGTGTTCCCGTGAGCACTCCATCCTCACAGTCCCCCTCGTCCAGAACTATGGATGTGGGAGGGGGGGCGGATCTTTTTTTTTTTTTTAATTCGGGAATTAGGGGAGGGGCACAGCATTGGAGAATTGGGGAAGGGGAACAGACAAGCTGCTGTCCTTTTGTTCTTCAGTCTAGTTGTAGAGGACGTCACTTCACTGGCCCATGTTGGTATTATCATTGCGCTCTTCCCAGGTTAGGCAGACTGGTCACCGGCTTCTGGACGGCCACTCACGGTGGCTCTTGGCAGCTCACGCTGGCTCCTGGCTACACATGGTAGCTTATGGCAGCCCTGGCCGACCCGGGGGGATGGATCTTTAAAAGAATATCCTCCCCTTCGTCATCACCTGCTAGAAAAAGGAAGGCTGTGGCCACCATCCATTGTTCAGAAACCAAACAAGAAAAAGGACACGGCTGCACACCCAAGGGCACTTGTACATGAAGACTTTCACCTTCCCGTTAGTAAATCTACCATGTTGGGGAACTGTGCAAAGCACGGTACAGATGTGAAAAGCAAGGGGCTGGTTTTTATGCAACTTGGAGCTTGGATGTTACTTGAAATGTTAAGATTCTTGGAGCCACCGATGACACATCATTTTTAAAATACAGGATTTTGTTTAAGTGGTAAAGTTTATACCATCAAGTATGTGGTTTAAAAAAAAGGAAAGATTTCTATATCTTTCTCAGACGCTTCGATTTTGGCAACTGACAAAAGGGGCCACTGACCAAAAAGATGCCCTGCAGGGTCAGCACATGAATATTAGGGAGAAGGTTCTAAATGACTAACAAGTAAATATCAGGGTCAGAATACTGTGGCTGGAAGTGTACTTGTGCCAAACATTACTTGTTCTTTTGGGGGTTGTGTCCTATGTGGGTTATATCTACAATAAAATGTAAGTATTTTTTAATATGGCAGGTAAACCATTTGCCCTTCTGATGAGCCTCTTAACTGCACTGGAAACACAGAGGGTAAAACCGGAAGTGTACTATAGTGATAAAAAAGACAAAGCCACCTGACTTGAAAATAACATTCTCATGAGCCTAGGATATTTAAAAATTATATAATGGCACACACAACTAATGGCCTTAATTCTAATTTCACGTGTGATGTGACTCCTGGAACCAAGTGTTCTTTGGGACATTGTTTGAACAAGCCTGCCTACATCACTTTAAATAGCCCCTTTTCATCTCACAGTAATTTTTCAAAAAATATACTCTCAGGCAATATTCAAATCCCTCCTGACAATCTGATATGGTGACCAAATCATGACAAACCCCTGATATCAGCGGCAGTATTTTCTCTCCTGCTCTGTGTTCTGCAGTTAGTTCTGTCATTTCACCAAATATTTAAGTCACCTGGTTTTTGGCCAATCTCCTACCATTTTCTTGATCCCTTTCCATAGCATGCCATGCCGGAAGAGTCCACTTCTCTCTGATTATTTTTTACAGACCAGCTTTCACTTTGAGAACCAGCCAAACTCCCTTATATTGATTGTGTTATCAATCTTATACCATTGGCAAGAACTCTGCTGTAATTCTAAAAAGTCACAGCACCCAATTTACAAACTTTCAGGGGACAAATGTGCTGCCAGCCAGGGCACAGTCCATCTGGAACCCTGGAGAGGGGTAAGGGTTCTCTGAGCCAGGCCACCACAATGCCACCTCGCTAATACTGCCTGCAGGTGCCAAAAAAACTTCTTAGTCAAGGAGAAGTAATTTTCTCTTCTCATTGTACCCAGCACAATCCCTGTGCAGTGGGAGGTTGGCATTGACTCTCGTCATCCCCACGCCTTCTAATAGAGGGAGGCTTTGAATGGAAAGAACTTAATTGGAGCTACTGACAAAGAGAGTAGTCATTAAAAGGCTGGTGTGCGATGCCATCAGCCCACAGGCAGAACAGGAAGGATTTGGTCTCCTGGCACATCCAGGACAGAAGGAAAAGGTTCAAGTGGAGACGGCACACACCTTGGAGTGCATTTCCAGGCACAGTCCACCTATGCATCCCTTCTCTGCTGTGTGAATTTCATTGTCAAATACTAGACTTGCTGCTGCTGGGAAACAGGGACACATCTCTAGTCTCTTCAGGGCTTAAAACATTGTGGCTGTTCAACAAACAGTTATTCAACTGAACCCAACCTATTCAACACACACACCGTTATCTCTATAAGAAAACATTTTCTAAGCCCATACAACTGACTTACAAATAAATTTAGCTGCCTGAAATATTTCTGGTGAGTAGGTACAGGACCAAAAGGGAATGAAAGAGAGAGACAGAGAGAGTGACAAATTGATTTTGAAATTCGATCGTCAGTTAAGAAGAAGTACCTGAATTAGATACAAGTAAGATCGGTCACCGAATACCTGTCCTTAGGCAAATGATTTCTGGCATGAATTCTGGGGATAAAAGAGGCAGAATTGGCCCTAATTCTCTATGTGTGGATATATCTGTCATTCATGCTGCTCTCCTTTTAAAAGCTTTTCTCAAAGGGATTTCAGAATTTCTAGTTTTAGGGCTAACAGCCAGAAAAGTGATTCTGTGAAATGATCCCTGAGAACCTCCTTCCTGCTCAGATCTTGAGGGTTATTAACTCAGTTTTCTTGGCTAT